CTTACAAATAACCAGCCTCAAAAGCAACAAGTTGCAGATTAACATCTATGAGAGTACCCTTAAACTCCTACAAGAAACATAACACCTAGCCCTTTACAGGTGTGCAAGAAAAAAAACTATCTAGATATCACTTGATAACAAAAACACAATCGTACAAGAATAAGTGATAGGTATTGTTGTTTGAGATATCACCTGATGGAGAAAAATATATCTACAACTATAATAAATTCTTCCTGAGACTGTTAAAAATATTTGAAGAGATATGCTATCTCAATATAATACTTTGTTAAAAATAGAAAGAAAAAGTAAGAGAGACTAATAGAAAAAATAAAGTTTTTATTTGTGGTTGTTATTGAAAACCTTTAAGTATATAAGTATATATAAGCACTAATACAACTCTTAAATTTTCAAATACATGAATGATAATTAACTCTAATTTATGAACCATAACCTATAAAATCAGAAACCATATTTATATCCTTAACTCTATATAAGATAAAGAGTAACCAAATTATTATTTTAAACTCCTTAGTTAAGTCTCCTTATTGTAAATTATTATTTTAATTCCTAGAAGACAACGAATCTCTTTAACTTGCAAATTATAATTTTTAACAGAAACAACCGTATCATGCACACGGCCCTACAAGATAAAACTCAATCAGCACATCAAAAAAGCCAAGAAACAGTTTTTAAAGAAAGCAACACAAAATAAATCATACCCATAACCCAAAGCTAAAGTCTTGCCATAAAAGATGTCAGACACAACCTTGAGACCAACAAAGGAATAACACAGCTCTATAGAGATTGTCGCCTACACAAGTAGAGCTGTTTTATATAGGATGGTATAATACTCCTTTACTGACCTAATACATGTAAAAAATGAAGGTAAATAAACAGAGAAGCACCCAAGATTTTGCACCCAGTTAGTAGCAGATGCATAAAAAAACCCAAGCTATAAAATAGCAAATAAACGAATTAAAGCAATTTTACCATCATAATCTTGTACAATAGAGTTGCTAAAGACAAACAATAAGACCACAAACTAGAATATTTTTTTATGATTGAAGCAAATACATAGACACAAAGTATTATTTCATTATAGAATGCATTTTTAAAAAGAAAGTATGGTTCAAATATGTGAAGACTCAATATCAAATTGCGGACATTCTTATAAAGTCTTTAAAGTCCAAACACTTTTAAAGATTGCGAGTAAGTCTTGGAATAAGGAAGAAGTTCCAAATTAAGGGGAGTATTGAGATTAATTTAAATTTTGAAGATTGTTTAGATTTAATGCAAGTGTTAATTTATGTATTTGTTATTTTTAAGGTACATGTAACATTTAAGTACATGAGTTTGGTTCATTTTTATGGTATGGACCTATGCTACCTATATATATCCTTTGTAAATTGAGTTTGTGATCAGGCAAGAAATATACAAATCTTCCTCCTAAACACCTTTCTTCGATCTAACATATTCCCCAGCCACGATTTCCTGGTAGAAGAACCTTCCTTATTTTAGGGAATGATTTTACCATCGAGTTGTTTCTCTCCTGATGTCGATCCAGAATTATCACACTACTCAAGGTCTCGAAACATCATTATGTCGTCTTTTTCTGGTCCTCTCTTTCTAGGCTATTTCCTCTTTGTTTCCCGATTAAGGTTAGTGGATTACTTAGCTCTTTTGCTTGTATCCTGCTACTACTTTGGTCGAATGTTGTCGCCTTTTCCTCTCAAAGCTCTTTTATTTCTTCAACATGGATCCATAATAGTTGATGGTCAATCTATACCTTGAGCACTTTTTAAATGGGTTTATAATATGGGACTTGCAGATATAATTTTTCCTCTGTAATTTATCTCTCCCAACATATCATCATGTAATTGAATTAATTTGCCTATAA